AATTTTCAATAAAATGTTCAATAAAACGATGTTAGTCACTTTAGGAGAAAGATTGAAAAATATCAAAGCCACGCTATTATTCGAGATGTCGTGTCATTTTGTGGTCAATTTTGTCATCATCTGTCTTTTTGTTGCAACCATTGATAAAAAAAAACGAAATTGTAAAATGTAAAAGTAGGCAACAATCTTTCGCTTTCACTGCAATAAAGGTCAAGCTTTCCATCTCAAAGATACTATTGTTTTTCGGAGTCTGCGTTACTGTCTAACGAAAAATGTACTTCGGATTCTGTCAAGCAAACTATAAACGTGATAATAACGTCTGCTGATCATGTTGCGTGTAATGAGCTTAGCCCTTTCACAACCCAGATGAGCCACCTCCATTTATAGCTAAGTTCTATCAATTTCGCTTAAAAAAACGGATAACTGAAATGCTAGAAACGAGAAACAAATTTTTTCTAAAGGCAATTTTTCAAATGACGATAGAGAATTGATATCTTATGCATATAGCAGACAATTAAGAAAGTTCACACATGAGAGCAGTGATTAGACTTCAGTTTGTGGAACTGATAGTGTTATTTCTAATATTTTAACGGTTAAAAAGGATTTTGAGGGTTCAATAGCATATGGCATTTTGTCAACCAAAAAAACTATGAAAAATTGAAAAACTCAGAGTCTTGTTTTACATTTAAAGCGTGATAACAATCATTCTCATTCGCACTTTGCCAGGCTGAAACATAATGAAACACCAAAAATGAAGGTAGTTGATGGTAATTATTAGAGTGAAGGTTTTCTGATAGATAATATGGAAAGCTTGTTTAGTAAATTTTATATTGTTTCGTCTTGTTTTTTTTTGTTTTTATCAATGCTTCTCTCACCAATTTTCGGAAAAATGTTGTAGGTTATTTTAATAAGGTACGTTAACCCGCATTCATCTGGCTCAGAAACATTTTCAAAGCACTTTTGGACGGCTTACTTCACAGACTGTTGCGTGACTAAAAAACTTTGCATCTTGAATTGCTCGCTGGGGACAGTTTCCGAAACAGTTCACGAAAAAGTTTCAATTAAAAATTCACTAAAAAAGGATGTCAGTCACATAAGGAGAAAGAATGGAAAATCTCAAAGCCACGCTATCATTCGAGATGTCTTGTCATTTTGTGGCCTTTTTTTGTCATCATCTGTCTATTTTGTGTAACCAACTATAAAAAATAAACGAAACTGTAAATTGTTAAAGTAGGCAAAAATCTTTCGCTTTCACTCCAACAAAATTCAAGCTTTCCCGCTCAAAGATGTGTTTGTTTTTCAGAATCTGCGTTACTGTCTAACAGAAGTGTACTTCGGATTCTATCAAGCAAACTATAGACGTGAAAATTACGTCTGCTGATTTCGTTGCGTGTAATGAGCTTAGCCCTATCCACAAACCTATCCACCTCCATTTATAGCTAAGTTCATCCAATTTCAATACAAAAACGGAAAAATGAAATCCTAGAAACGAGAAACCCATTTTTTTCTAAAGGGAATCTTACAAATGGTGATCGAGAAGTGATATTGTATGCATATAGCAATGAATTGAAAAAGTTCACGCGTATGAGCTAGGCACAGATTTCAATTTCTGGACACAATTGTGTTATTTCTTGTATTTTACGGATAAAAAGGATTTCGACGATTCAATGGCACACGGCAATTTGTCAAAAAATGGCTAGAGGCACCAATAAGACTATGAAAAATTAAAACTTTAGAATCTTGTTTTACAATTAAAGCGTGATAATTATCATCCTTCTCCGCAATTTGCCTGGTGGAAACACAATGAAATTGTGAAACACAATGAAAACTTTTTCGTAAATTGAACACTGACAAAAATCTATTGAATCAGTTTAAAAATCAGCTAATTAATTGATTAAAAAACTGGGTTGTTGGGTGAATTTTAAATTAAAGATGTTTTTTTAAAGCATTGGTTAAAGATCTTACAAGGCAAAACAATTATGCATAAAAATCTCAGAAAAGAACATCAAAAATTGATAACTAAGTGCTGCTTGGGTCACAAAGTCATCTTTCGTTTTTGATGTTCAATCCTACATTGGTATAATTAGTTGGTCTCCATTAGTTGGTCTCTATAATTAGATCGATATACATACTTTAAGCAAAAAAACGTTTGTTTTTCAAAAAAAATTGATCATTGTTTAGTCATCATGATCAGCTACCAGTTTTAGTTGCTTCACTAATTAAAATTCTAATGAACATGGCTCCGCGAACATGCGAACTTGGCTCCCTAATACGGATCCGATTGATATTTGTACCACTCCTGGTTATCCCACAACCACCAGTATAATAGTCAATCCAAAAAGGCAAAAAAGACGGGGCTGGGCGAATTTTTTGCGGAAAGGGATTAATTTTATAAATCAAAGAAAACCGATTGACTTCAACAATAAAACTATCAATAGTTGAGAGACATAAAAAGTTTTCAGTCCATACGTAATCTAAAGACCACCTGCTTTGATGGTTGCAACTTTAAGTGCTGATAAGTTGAATGAATTTTTCTCAAGTTTTGATAAATCATTGGTTTTTTTTCTAACTTCTAAACTGATCAAAATTCGAAGTCGGAACAATTTCCGATAGCTGAGCGTTTAATGCTGCGACTGAACTAAATTTTTTCAACAATTGTTAGTAATTTAGAAAACAGACAGTTGTGTGGTCTTTTTTTAAACACTGAAATGATAAACTTCTTCAAAAATACATGTCGTCAGTTCATAATGATTGTATACTAAAACCATTTTTCAACTTCATGTAAAATTGCAAAAGTAATTTTTCTTCACGAGTCTAATCATCAGGACAATCCCAAAAGTTACCGACCTACTAATCAACTTGATAAACAGTTTCAATCAAAACTTAAACAGTCTCAGAAAAAGTCATTAAAAAGTGGCCAGTTTGATTTATCATCGTAACATGTAATTAGTGAAGTTTTTGTTTTTCCGCGAAAACCTTTCAGTTGCTCAAGCTATTTTTGAATAACAGAACTTCTATGAGAAGTAAAGGACAGACAAATCTATGACTTGGCTCTAAAAAAAGGTTGTAATTTGTTGAGCTGGTTGACAGCAAAACTGAAAAACGTTATATTGATAACTGTGTGCCACAGGGATCAGTTTTAGGATCAACTCTTTTTTGACTAAAAAAATAATTGAAAAAAAAATATTACGCAACAATCCCAATCGCTTTTTTATTGCATTATTTGTTCTTCAATCAAAAACAATGTGACCAAATATTAGAAAGTGAAGAGCAAATTATAGATGATTACAAAACAGTGGTTGATTGGTGTGCTCAGAATAAAATAATGATCATCTCCCTGAAACCAAAATTGGTGCAATTTGGTAAAAAAGATTTTAGGTGAAAGTTCTGTTGCCCATGGAAGTGACCCAGTAAAATATACTGACTGCTTCAATTTTCTTTGATATTCAATGGACAAATTATGTATCCAGCCCAATTTGTTTTTCAACAAAAAACCGGGTATAAGTTCTTAAACCATATGCAGCACCAATGATCTCATAAGTTGTAATTTTGTAGGATCGTTGTCACGAATAGTGTTTTTCAAAGAAATTTTTATTCGTATTACCGACCTTTTTTTGATCAACACGAAGTTGATACTGTGTTGAGCTTGTCCTTAATCAGGTTAATAAAAAATGGTTTCACCAACTGTAAAACCAACTCCCAAATTGTTTGTTAGATGTTGACTAAAAATATCATCGTTTACACGGTCAAAGACCAGTTTAATTGTCGGTAAAACTAGAATGCTTAAAAACTGGTTTATGCTGCTTCTGTTAACAAACTTGTAATGGAATATTAAGCATAAAATCATTTAAATGCCAAAACAGTTAGAGAAAGTATCTGATATTGTGTTTCGAAGTTTTTTGCAAACTTTAGGGTGGTATATTTAAAAATCATTGGGAATTTCTATTAATTGTATTTCACTAATCAATTAAAATATTGAGAAATTTTTCTACTTGTAAAAGAACTGACACAGTGTGCTACTTGCTAGGTAAAGTCTGCCTGCATAGTGTTCCTGACGTAATCATTTTTATACTGATTTACGAATTATACCTGCGTCTGAAATCAAATTGAAATTTAATTCAAAACTGCTCAAAAACTGATTGGTTTGAGCTGTTCTGTTTGCGGCACAGAAATTGTTCAGCAGGCAAAATTTAAAAAAAAAACGCTCAAAACCATTAAGATCATAGCAAAACTGCGCAGACCGCCTGCACTTTGAGCAATTTGTTTTTAAGTTCACCACAAAATGGCGTAATTGTTGCACGGCTTATACAACTAACACTATTATTTCTTAGTTTCATACCTTCCACTTTACAAAATGTAAAGCAAAATCAATGTCAACTAATTTAAAGTCCAAAAAATAAGTGTCAATGTTGATTTCGTTTTTTTTTAATTAAAAAGCGGAACACTTGAACCGTGAACCGTGCAATGCTTCGGACATCATGAACAGTTGAACGGTTGCTTCGGAAATCTCGTTTTGCGTTTTATGTACAGGTAAATGAGAAGAATAAAAGAAAGAAAAACAAGACTGCCAGTGTTTCAAAGCACGGTCCTGAATGTTCCGGCCGCTCAATGATCGCTAATAGTTGTTGGTATTGATTCTGTAGTGCGGGATAATTTGCCAGGCTTGAATACATCGCGTTGCGCTTTGAGTATCATAATAAAAAACACGCGCACGGCCATTTTGCGAACATAGGAATTCGAAATCTTCAATGGGGTATAAGAAAATTTTTAGTAAAAAAATTTTTCGATAGCCAAAATAAGACTCAATAAGACCCCAAGCATAAATATTCCGAATTTCATCGAAAGTCGGAACAACTAAATTAAGAGGTGTTCTTGTTGTTGAAACATTTTCGCAGACAACCCAAGGAGCTCGAATTTATGGCCTAAAAATGATTGTTTAATAGGTTGAAACAAAAGAATGGACGCAAAGTGTTTTTAATGTATGGTATAACAAAAATTACCTTTGAGTAACAAGCGAGATGAGAGGGAAAATTGAATCTCTGCATTGAAAAGAACTATTAAGCGCTGATCTAAATTGGCTCTTGAATCGATAGGAGAAGTTATTGTTTGGAGAGACAATAAAATTTTTTCAGCAGCGCGTGACAATATGAGCTGCTTTTGAAGCTATGGGAATTGCAAATTTTCATTGCGATAGTGGTTTGAAAACATAATGTGACTTTTCCCCTGAACATTTCCCAATTACATCCACAAAAAAAAACAGTTTTTGATGAAATCTAAACAAGTGCGCGAGAAAAAAAATCACATAATCCATTAATGGAGGCGGCTGATTTCTATAAACTTATATACAAAAAGACCAAAAATCAATCAATACAGCTACAAAGAGATATTGCTTCCAATTTTTTGTTAAGCTTGATTTTTTAAGTGATCAGTTGTCTAAAAACTCGAAATATGGCCATCAGTTGTAAACATAACTTTTTAGAATTGAATATCGCGACTTGGCATGGTGAAAAAGCTATCTTTGTGACCAGATTTGTTTTTCATATTTTACATCGTACACGCAATTTGCCATAATAACCCGCAAAACAACTACAAAAATTGAAATTTCGAAAGTTGTGAGGGGGGATAGGGAGTCGAAAATTTTAGCTCAGGACCTCAAAAGTTATCGGATTAAATAAAACAACCCGTCAAAAGTGACTAGTTAACAAGTCGAAATTTGTTTGGAGAAAAAGAGACAAAAACCAGCCCGATCATAATTGTTCCGTCAATTTCTTGGGGTGATGGGGAGGGGATACATATGGGGAAGGCGGAAGTTTGGGTTTGGGAGGAGAGGGGTGCGTTTGAAGGAGGTAAGTTTTTTTTTGGGGGGGGGGGGGGTAAATGTGTGCGCGTGTGGCGGATGGAGGAGAGGGTATTTAATGCTAGATGAATAAATTAGGAAATCGAGACGTCATCGAGTAATGCAGAACTTGTTGCAAATTTTGCAAATCATTGTGCAGCAAATTACAGTTTATAATTTTTTATAATCCATTATAATGTGTTTTTAATTATTATAATTGATTTAAATGTTTTGAATTTAAAATACATTTCAAAGTTCTAAGTGTAAATCATTCTAATGGAACTATCTTTGATGATGATTGCAATAAGATCCAATTTCGGTCAAAAAGTTTAGTTGAGGGGACTAATGAGAAATGAGTGTTTCGCAAATAATACAGAGAATTTTAATCTAAATTAAATATCGCGTCGGGCGGGGGGGGGGGGGGAGGTGGCGCATTTGTGGTTTGTGAGATTTTAGATAGGACAATTTGGGGTAAAAGGACGAGAGCTATTTGAACCCACAATTACAATTAGTGCAATTTTAGGCTGTTGCTGTCTCAAACCCTCTAAATTCAGCAAATTGATAAGCGATGATCGCCTGCATGTATCTGAATGTAGCAGCGGCTTAATGCACGTAGATATGCACTTATTTGCCCTTGGTGTAGATTTTTATGGCCAGTCATTGTACAATCAATAAAATGGTTGGGTTTTTCACAAAATACATTTTCTAAGATTGAAATATCTCGTCAAAATTTTGTCTTAAAAGCTAATGGAAGTGATCAGTTTTTTTCTTCGGTTAATTAAACTCCGTAACTCAATTATCAAGTAAATTGCATCATTCAATGTCTGGTAAGTTGGTAGAATGGTCTCTTTCATTACTTTCCCCTTTTGCAAAGGGGGGTGGATTCGTTACTAGGTACATAATTTACATACACTCAACCAATGAATTATTTCTCTATATGGGTGGCCATTCCTTTCTGGGTACAACAGTGGGGGAATTAGTTAAAGTGATCCGTAGAATTGGCATTTGATGAATGTAACCCATTTTTCCAAGTTTCTCTGAAATTTTCTGCTGAATAGCTTTTACTTTTTAACCAAAAGTTGCAAATATACACTTTAATTGAAGCATTTCCTTACAAAGTTCAAAGTCAATTTTACCATTGTCCTTTTGAGTAAATGTCTTTTGACTTTAATTATGGTTTAAACATTTCACTGAGTTTTTAAAAAGAAATGTTTTCAAACAAAGATCTTTTTTATGCAAGCTTTTCCGAATCGTATTGAAAAGTTCTCGAACACAATTGAATTTTGTTGAACCATAATTGAAAAAACCTGACTACCAAATGATTACCTGTACTGACTAAAAATGCTTGCTAGTCATGCAATTCTCATACTGTGGCCATAACTTTAAGACATCTACATGAAAACCAAATGATTGTTTTCTCTCTTGTAAAGGAATTACGGACCAACCCGCATCCAGTTTCAAGCGTTAATAATCGATTATATTACGATTTTAGTACCAGTCTCACTAAAATTGAGAAACAATCGATTTTAATCAATTAATAATTGATTATAATCTCTCTTTTCAAAATCAAATTTTAATTAATTATAATTGATTATAATCGATTATTTATTCGTCTATTTTTCGATACAATTATAATTGATTATAATTAATATAATCTATTATTTTTATTCAAATTTCTATTTCATTAGTTTTGCACAAAAAACCCATTATAATCAATTATAATTGATTATAATCCCTTTTGTTTGTCCATTTTTGTCTTCGAGGTTGCATCTAAATTGTTTATATTTTATGCCTTTTGTGGACGTTGGTTCCTATGAAAAATGAGAAAAATATTTTTAAAGCTTTCCAATTAATTCAAATTTATAAGTTTTTTTTCATTTCTTCCAATTAGAATTGTTTTGTGATGCATATTTTAAGCTTTTTTAAACACCAAAACATCAACAAGCTGATTTAGTTTCATTATTGATTTGGAAAATTTATTTTTCATCTACCGCGAGATCCAAAGTGTTCAAGAGATCCCTCTTTTAGAGATTTTCTTATTGATACAAAAATAATAATCCATAAGATATAGTTCGAATATAGAAAATTTTTGGCAAAATAAGAGATTATAATCGACTATAATCGATTATAATCGATTAAAATTGATTTTAAGGGTTTTTAGTAAGAACTATAATCAATGATAATCGATTATAAGAGATTATAATCTCTTGGAAAATATCACGATTATAATCAATTATAAATCCCTTAAAGACCTAATTTTGGTAATTATAATCAGTTATAATTGTCAAAAAATCATCATAATAATCCGTTATAATCGATTACTTACACCTAAACTTGGATGCGGGAAGTTAGCACTACCACTCCCCCTTCCAAATCCGTTTATGGAGTAGATAATAACTTGGTTCTGTTGCGTTTTCAGCCAATCAGAATAGAGCGTTTTACATGCAGCGCTGAGTAGATTTAAATTAAAATGAACGCTGGGTGGAGGATCTTAACTTGGTCTATTTGGGAGGGGGGATGTTAACTTGATCCGGAAGTAAAGGATCAGCATTTTTCACAATGAAACTGCACTGTGATAAATGAGAACTGTGCGACTACCATTTTTCTAGAAACTAATTTTTTTATCAAAAAATAATTCTATTTATGGAAGCCGCCTATAAGTTGAGTAGCCAGATTATCACAAATAATATGCATAAGAACATTTTTGCCATTTCAGTTAGTAAAAAATATTCATCAAATTGAATCGAGATGAGAAATCAAATTTACGAAATAAATATTTTCTAATTATTAATTTCTTCCTTGTCTCGATTCTGATTGGTTAATATAGTATATGTCTGCTTACTGACGAGTATGAACACATGTTAGAAGAATATTTAGACATAAATCTAAATTAATTTGGCCTAATCAAAAGGCCTGAAGATTGCTTATGGCGAGAACAAAAACACGCTTTTAGATTTTTGGTTATATTGCGCGGAAAATAGGGTCTGGTGTACGTTATGCTCAACACTCACTTACAGTTTTATCAAAATACATTATGGAAGAAGGCAGGTCATATACGTTTCACATATATGAAATTTTTTTGTTGCTGAATTTTATGAAATTGTGTGAATACATTTGGTTTATAGAGGTCAACCTTGGTACTGACAAAAAATACCATCGAAAGAGATTCCAGCAGAACTCACCATATATCTGAACGCTAATGTTTTAGACAACTGAGAGACTAGAAAATTGATTTTCAAATGATTTTTCAAACTGCGACCATTTTTTCTACGTGGCAATTTTTTTTTGATAAATCTCCCCCTTCGACCTATAAAATTAGCAAAATTAATTTGACACTGAGTGAAAGTTGCGTTTATTTGATGTTTGTAGGATTATAGCCATGACTTCAAATAAAATGTTTTTCAAAAAAAACTGGTTTGGAAAAAACATAGATACAAAAAAGTAAGTCAGATTTGAACAGTTTGATAAAAAGTATTATAAACATTGGTCAGTTTTTGTTTAAAAGTGTAATGGATTTCCTTGCTTACTTTGTGAAAAAAATATATACGATAGGCTTACTGAAACCAACGGTTTTTCATAAAACACGTTTAATTCCAAAAACTCGGACTCTTTTTGTTTTATATGAGATTTTTTGGCATCCAATTTGACCATTTACGAAAACTGATTGTTTGGCCCAACATCTCCCTGAAAATGAATTTTTTTCTTGATCCGACTAGATTAATTATAATAGTTGCATCAATCGTATTTCAGAATTTACGATCAGGTACTTGATTTAGCGTGAGGACCCAAAGTGAGAGATATCAAAACCGATGTTTAAATGGGCGTGGTGTTTCGAAAGTTTGTCATTTTTCTTAGATCAGTTATTTCTCGTGTTTCCAGCTCTGCCGAAACCCCACATGTATCAATTTTTAGCTATTTCGTTTGGGCACCGCAGCTAGTTTTGAAAACAAAAAAATGCGGTTAATGTACACCATGTTAGACATTGAAGATCTAGATGGTAAATCTATTTTTTCGGCGCGTGCTCTGTACTCAAAATTTATTGTGCAATGGCGCCAAAAGATATATAAATGTTTTATGATTGATTGTTCTTTGGAAAAATTTGGGGTAACCAGAATTGAGTGGAAAAAAATTGGGCAATTCCCCCCCCCCCCCCTCACCTGGTACTGATAATGGGTGTTTCTGTCTCCGAGCC